TTTGATGAGAACTCTTAAGATCTTAGCAACTTTCAAATATGCAATACAGCCTAACTATAGTCCCCATGCCCTACATTACCTCCCCGTGACTTATTTATTTTATAACTGGAAGTTTGTACCTCTTAACCCCCTTCGCTCATTTTGCCCGCCCCCGCCAGGCAAGACTCTTCACCACCTCTAACACACACTATGTGTGTTAGAGGCACTCTGATGAACCTATTATTACACCTTATCTCATTTAATTCTACCTTATAGATCACTGGCTCCATTTCACAGAAAGAACACTGAGGCTCAGAGAAGAGACGTAAAGGCCACATAACTAGTACGTTGTCGAGGACCAGGACAGGCCAGTCTTACTGGGAGCGGGGAAGTCACAGAGAATGGGGTCCCCAGGGTGCGGGGGCACCTCTGTACCTGGTCTCCCGAGAACGACATTGCTGCCGGAATCGCCCCCGTTGTCTCTCCTCCTCCAAGACTTTCTTTTTGTCACAGTTTCCCAGGTTGATCAGGACCAAGGTGTCATATAGCAGACTGTCTTTCACCTCTTTATCCAGCCAGGAGTCGGTGGAGAAGCTTGGAGAGTGGTTAACCTGTGAGGGCAGCAGGGGGCTGGGCTGTCCAGCGTGGAAGCAGAGAGCAAGGCCCAAACGCCACCTCCAGGGAGCTACCTAAGCCCAGCATGGGGCCCTGGCTACCAGATGGAGCGGAGGGGAGGGAGTCTGTACCGGAGCCATGGTGAGGAGAGGAGAAAGCAGAACCTCCTCTAGTTTAACCAGCTTCGATTTCAGTTCTTTCCTCTTGAGAAGCATCAGCGGCGCCCTGTCTTTGCTTTCCCTCCCCCTGGTGGGTGTGCTCTCTCGCTTACATAGCATGCCCTAAAGCAGAGGGAAGGGCGCAGTCCAAAGGACCAGGCTGGGAGGTGGGGAAGAAGCCAGAGTGATGCATTCTGGACCCTCACCAGGATCGAGGGGGAGGCAGGTGGGAGGAGGGAGAGGCCTCATTCCTGCTCACAGAAAAGACCAGATCATTTAGACGCACTCTGTAACATTTGAAGACTTCTAGCAGTTTCTGAAGGCCTGTGCCTGGTGCCAATTCCGCTCTTTGTGTAAGAGCTCCAAACAGCCATCTTCTCCTTCCCACCTATACCTGGGAACAAGGGCTGGGAATGGAGGAAAGGCAAGGCCCCAGGAAGGGGACCCATGATTCTGGCTTTGCCCTCTGAAGACTCTGACTCTGTGCCAACCGGCCCTAGCACCTCTGACTTGGCACCTGGCTCCTCCAATCCCCACTTCCTACAATGAGGACTGAAGGGTCCCTTGAGGGCTGCTGAGCGCAGGTCTAATGGGGAAAAGAGACAGCCACCCACATGCTTTTTTTTCCTCCTCCATCCACCCTGCTGCAGGTCTGGGGAAGGTAGGAAATTCACTGAGTGGCTCCCCACCCATTCCCTTGGCCACAGACACCAGGCCACTCTCTGTTGGTGCTTGGACTTGAGTGGCCCAAGCCCCTGAGAGCCAGGCCTGGTTCTGATCTGGAACATCATCATCCAGCTTTGATGAAGAACACCCCCTTTCTGGGAGACAATTCTGTGACAAAAAATCAAGTTGTCTTTAGAGTCTTTCTGTGCCTGCGATCAAAGTTTCCAGGCCTGGGTGGACCTCAAGAAGGCACAAGGAACTCTAATTCCTGGCCATCTACCCCCCTCTGGTGGCCACTTCTCAGCTAAGGGAGGAGCCCCGGGCAGCCAGCACTGCTGTCGGATGAACAGGCCTGGCCAGGAAGTTGATTAAAATGATCTGGCTGAGCCAGGGATGAAGGGATGAGCCTTGACACTGGCTGACCCCAGGAACAGCAGTCAGTTCTCACCCCTCACCCCAGCCCCTCTACCTCCAGCAGCCAGGGCTTGAGTTTGTGGTCCAACAAAATATCAAAGCCCAGGATTTCAAAGCAAGCACTGTTGAGTGTGTGGTTGGGGAAGCAGGTGTGGTAGTTATGCTTGATGACGGGGTGGGCGGAGATGATCGTCTTGATGATGACATCCTCGATATCTCTCCAGATCTGCTCCATGTTGTAGCCATGGTTTTCCATGTACATGTTGAAGGTGGAGAGCTTCCTGGAAGGAAACCACAGGCCGTGAGGCAAGGGAGCCCACCTCTGGTCATCTAAGGCCATCTCCGGCAGGAAACCAGAAACTTCTGCAGACTTTAAGTCCCCAGAGGTAATGGGGACAGACACCCAGGACCCAGGGTGACAACAGGGCTGTGTCAGCTCAGGAGGGGCCTGCAGGAGCCACAGGGCCACAGTCCTTAAGCCTCCAACAGCCTGGAAGTGGGTGCAGATAATGACACATAAGACCTGGCTTGGGCACTAACACTGTGACCCAGAAAACACCTGTGAGGCTGGGGCAGGGACTGGGTATTCCAGGGGGAAAGCTCAATGGGTGAATAAAAAATATTAAAAAAACAAACAAACACCCTACATGATGGTTTTGCTTTGATGGCAAATAGTTTCTCAACCTTTGGTGTTCATTAGAAACACATAGGGAGCCTTTTAAGAACACCAGTACCTGGGTCCCACCCCAGCCATCTGACAGGATTCTGGGGATGCCAAAGACACAGAAACTTTGCTTGAGGACTATCCACAAAGAAAAGGCAGCCCCGGGGCATTTCCACAGATAGGGTTACCAACTGTCCCAGGCAAACCAGGACAGTCCCGATTTTAGATAAAGAAGATGTGGTAGATATATACAATGGAATATTACTCAGCCATCAAAAAAATGAAATCTTGCCATTTGCAACGATGTGGTTAGAACTAGAGGGTATCATGCTAAGCGAAATAAATCAGTCAGAGAAAGACAAATACCATATAATATCATTCATATGTAGAATTTAAGAAACAAAACAGATGAACATAGGGGAAGGGAGGAAAAATAAAATAAGATGAAAACAGAGAGGAAGACAAACCATAAGGGAGTCTTAACTCTAGGAAAGAAACTGAAGATTGCTGGGAGGGGGGATGGCATAACTGGGTGATGATGGTGAGGGCATGTGATGTAATGAGCACTGGGTGTTATATGCAACTGATGAATCACTGACCTCTACCTCTGAAACTAATGATACACTATACGTTAATTACTTGAATTTAAATCAAATAAAATTTTTAAAAATAATAAATTTTTTAAAAAAAGAACTGAAAGTCTCACATCCTGGGAAACCCCTCAGTCACAGGCAAACTGAGATGACCTGTCACCCTATTACAGAGATCAGAGGATGTCTATGGTTCATGAGGAAACATCTAAAGGGGTGCTCTGCCAAGATGTCCAGCGACAGATGAATGGATAAAGAAGAAGTGGTGTAGGGCGCCTGGGTGGCTCAGATGGTTAAGCGTCTGCCTTC